TGTCATTTTAACATGTTGACCAAAATATATTCGTACAATATTAATTGAGATATTTTCCCCTACAATCATTTCTATATTCTTTGCGATAATTATGTAATTAATTAAAATCAATTAGAATTCTTATAATAATGTTAATTTCCTTATTTATAAATAAGAATTCTATATATATGGTCCAGTTGTAATAGCACAGGATGTATGAAAAAATAAAATTAATTCTCCAAAAATCTTCATAACATAAAATCATGAGTATTTTATGAGATGTTTGTATGTTCTATATTTTTAAATATGAACAGTTCAACACTAATCAAACTAAAATTAGGAAAAAACAAAGTAAAATTGTGAAATCAAACCATAAAATGAGTTACCACCAAAAACTCAATGAGTTTGAATTGCAATGAGACTATATTATAGAAGTTGAAATTGTAATTTGCTGTATCCTCTTTGTATAAGGATGTAATACTTGCTGAACCCAGCCCCATCTCTTTTATGGTGTTAGCTTTGGATGTGAATATAATTCTTTTTATGTTCAATTTGTGCAGTTTGGATTAACTAGTAACAACTCACAGAGGACACACGCATCTCAGATTTTAGGTGATCAAAGTATGAACTAGTTGTCGAAGTTCCTTTTCACTTTTGTGTTCCCATGAATGAATTAGTGCATATTTTTTTACTAGAATTCAGCAAAAGATTATTGCAATCAGTTCTTCTTTAGGATTTGCTAAGCACATGATAATAAATGATGTTAATATGGTAAAATTACTTTTTCGGTTTTGGTTGCAGTGTTTAACATGGGAGCTTCCAATCCTGGTAGTATGATGTCGATGCAACCGCAACAGCAACAGCAGCAAGCACATAGTTCACAAGGTGCATTCGGTAATATTCAGCCAAATGCTCAGAATCTACAATCTAATATGGTAGCACTTCAAAACGCGCAACAAAATCATCCCAATTTTGCACAGCAGAGACAACAAAATCAGCAGTAGTGTCCTTTGATCGATATCGGAGATGCAGAACTTGGACTTAGCTCCAGTGTGATTATTGCATTTTATCCTCAACATGAAAACAAGTATATTAGTCTGGAAAGAGCCATTTCGTGGATGTTTTCCTCTTTCTATTACATGGAAAAGTCATGTACAGCTCATGATTGCCTCTTTCCTGAGTTGTTATCGGAGATTTTTTACAAAGAAACTACTTTTTTTTTAAATTAAAAAAAAAAAATCTATTTACTAACGGGAAACCCTCTTTGTCAATGGAATTCAGAGATAGAAAACGTTCAGAATAATCTTTTAGGATTGACACCTCTTAGCTCTTCACCTTAATGGTTCTTTAATAACTTACTGGTAGGATTATCGGTTTGAATTAAAAATCTTTGAAGTTAATACCTTGCTCGAATGAAACTGGATTTAATGGGATTATCTTGAATATTTGATAATCTATTTTGTAACCCTATATTATCTAACTAAATTTGATTCTTTCTTGATATGGTTTTCAAAAACAATGTTCTTGGTGCATTCTTTTCCCAAGTAACAAAGATGAAATACATGATTTTTGTTAATGTATATTCACCATGTTCTTCGTCAGTCATCACAAAAAAGAAAATAATAATAAAAATAAATCTAAGCATCTTCAAGAAAGACTCCCACAATTGGAAATTACAGAATACATCACACTGCTATCAACAGCAAGTAGAACAACAACAGTATGATGTTTGGTTTCATTTGCTTGTTGAGAACAGCTTCAAGAATCTTCCTCTGTAAATTTAGCAACTAGTTTTTGAGAGAATTTGGTAAAAGCCAAACGTGCCTCTTAAGCTAAGTGCTTGAATAGACAGCAGCAGCATCTTTTCAAAAACCACTGCATCCTGTATTACAAAGTAAAAAAAATTAAGGTTGTGTTCGGAACAAATAAATTTCTGTAACACAAAAAAATAAAAAAATAAAGTGAAATTAATTTGTAAATCTATTCAAAACATAACTAAATATGTGAATTTATAAGATCCAATCTCAAAATTAAAGCATACTTTGAGTTGCTTTTCAACTTTTAAAACCAATTAGATATGTTATCGATATGAATGAAAGAAATATTAATTAGGGTTTCTTGAATGTGAAGTGAAGAGTCATTTGACTCCTGTGAGGCTGTGAGGGATGATAGGTAGGTTTCTTATGGCATTGACTGGTTGCTGGATGGTTTCATCTTCAGATCTTTTTTTTCCTTCTCCATTGTCAAATCAGTTTTTTTTTCTTGACTTTATGAGCAAATTATATAAATATATATATAATTTAATAGAGGATAAATTAGGGAATTAACTTTTGAATTATGATTTATGTTGTGGCTTAGTTATAAATTTTTTTATTATAATGTTATCTTAGAAATTTTTGAAAAAATTATTTTAAAATGCTGTCTTTTTACTGAAAAGTTTTACAGAAATATAGACTTTTTTTTTCTTCGATATCACTTAAGTAAAACAAAAATGGTGTAAAAATATAAAATTTGTATTTAACATTTAAAATTAAAAATTAAAAATTAAAAATTAATTGTTACAAGTATTTTCTTCTTCTTTTTTTAATTTTGTTATTATGATTTATATTATTTAAATAAAATAGATTAATTATTGTAATTAAAATTAATTTTTAATTTTTATGACTATCAAGCTCTATTAAAATCAAAATATGAATAAATTGCTCATTTTCATATATAATCATGTATTTTGACTTTTTTAAGTACATATTTCTCTTTAACTCAAATACTAATATACATATAAAGGGTCAAATTACCAGACTTTAAAAGGGAAGTAAATCCGAATAAAACCAACCTGTTACTCAAGCTATACCATTCAACTTGTCCAAAAAAAAAGAACTTTGAAAAATAAACTAACAGCATAGTTGTATCTCAAGAAAATAGTGATTATGATGTTGGGACTCC